AACCTCAATTTTTCTAATGAGTGGCTAATGAGAGGTCAATTACTTACGGAAATTAGAAAAACATTCATTGAGGAACTGGTCCGAGGCAAAGTGTGCTACCCCATAATGTTTTGATATAAATCATTATGGCATTAATGAATATTTTACTCTTTTTCATGTTGCAGCCTATTTCCCCAACCTATAAAATGGCCTTAATGGGATTTTGAAACAAACATGAGTAACTGTCCTAAAAACATAATCATATTGTATTTATGATAACTGCAGAATATCTTTTTTTGCTTTTGCTATAAATGGTTTGCTCAGGCACCAACATCTTGCTGTGAAACCTTCAGCTAATCAGAACAGTGGTGTCAGGAACACCAGGTTTGCTGTGCTGAATCAGAGCCCTGATCTGACATCTGCCCCAGCTTCATTTCCAGGCACTACAGGGTGGGAAAAGGACATCCTGTACAGCACCTGGCTGGCTGGATCGAATCCAAACTGGTGCTTGTAAATTGTCCTCCTGACCCCAGGCACCCAGCACTGCAGGAAAATATCCAGAGCCTGCAGCACCTCATACTGACCCCACTACTGGTGAACCCTACCTCCCTTTTTAGTTAAAGATTGTCAAGAATTGGTGGCAGGTAAGAAGTTAAAACATTCCTTTCACAATTCACCTTCTTTCTGGGCACCTATTTTGTGTTTTCTAAAAGGTCTCGAATGAATTGTATAGAAGCAGAAGAAAAGAGGCAGAAAGAATTCCAGGGACCAAGATGGATAGTTGGTTAGTTGCAGTACCATGCAATTAAATTTAGAGGCCAGGAATATAATTCACTGCTGAAATTCAGCTTTGCACTGTCCTAAGTTATTATTTCAGAGCAGAAGCTGAAATGGCCAGAAAGGGGAAAAGTGTACAAGCAGAAGTATAATTGGACTTCAGTATTTCATAGTGATGCCCTGAGATTTCCACTGCTAAGCTCTGTTTCAGAGTCTGACCAGGGTACCACTGCAGTGTAAGATCTCCCATACTCAGGCCATTAGATTATCCCGTTTCCCCTGCAGGCACTGTAAATCAAAAGCAAAAAATATCCTGTTATGTTCTAGAGGACAGTTTTGTTGGCCTTTCTTTTCAAACACAATCTGAACACACATGTTTTTTATGTGAGTCTCATTTACTTCAGCTTTACTGTCTTGAATACAGATTTAAGTTGGAGGGAGTGAAGGAAAGAAAAAAAAATAAAAGCAGACCTTGAAACCNAAAAAAAAAAAAAAAAAAAGCATCATGATTTTTTTCATTTTCTAAAGAATTACAAGATCTTTGTCCCTTTGAACCAGGCTCAGTCTGGATTTAGGTGAAAACCCTGCAGTCTTTTGACTCAGAACCCATCATTTTGGTGCAAAGAAATCCATCATGTGTATTAAGGGGTTGGTCCAAAGTACAGTGCTGTCACTTACTCTTAATATCACAGTGGGTGCCACTCATTTTATGTTTCTAATTCCCCCTCCCTCCCCTCCTTCCTCCTGGGAAAGATAAACGTGTGAACAACAATGAGGTATCCAACTACTAATCGAAAGCAATATAGTTCTGCACAGATCAGCTCCGTGATGGAATAAAGAAGTGAGCATGGATCTAAGCACCTTCTCTTCATATCATAGCCTTCATGTTGTTTTCAGGAGCATTTTTGTCAGGCAGTGATGAAAGGCTGAGAACAAAGTGAACAAAATTTCCTTTTACTGCTTAAAAATTCTCAGCTGCTTTGCTGTATCAAAACGTTGTCTCTTTAAACAAATCGCATGGTTAAAAATGCCAAGTTATAATTCAGCAACTAACTCTGAAAATGACAATTTAATCAATCAGAACCAACCCTTCTGAAAAAGAGGGGTGAAAAAAAAGAAGGAAAATCTTAAAGCTTTCATGCAATGCGAGTGGTTGAAACTATAAAAATGTTCAATCACTGTAGAACAAGCCTGCAGCATCAATGTTTATTAAAGTCAGGGGAGCCATTTATTGACCTGGGAAACAGTAAAGCACCAACAGCACTGCTGGATTGCATTTTTATAGTTAACAAACAGAGGGTGATATTTTCCTTTTCTCTTTTAATTGTGATTCCACCAAATCCAAAAAGTTAAAAGCCTCCTGATTTTCAAAGGAAAGCAAAGAGAAAGATGCTCCACACCATTCTGCAGTCATTCTCTTTGCTGACTCCTAGCATGGGGATATATCCAATAATTTCAAATATTCAGGCTTCTCCACATGCCAACAGAATGACAGACCAGCATGTGCTTTCTCCACCACTTCAGCTGGTGGCAGAATACAGGGAGCTGCCATTATGAGGCTGGTTCTTTCTGTAATCAAAGAGGAATTACTCTATTTATTCATACAAAGGTCACCCTGCCACCGGACCAGCCAAAATGAATGAATGTCATTCAGTCCAGCCAACTCAGAATGAATTGTCCTCTCCCAGACTGACACCAGGCGTTTCTCCAAAGACATATCTTAGTCATTCTGGAGATGTTGGAACTGTTTTGCCACAAGCACATTTTTAAAACGCACCCTTCCATGCTGCATAAATTGTGAACTACCAAAGGCTATTAAAAGAAAAGAGTCAGCAACGTGAGCTGTGATCAGAGACCCGTGTTACCCAAATCACAGGAGTCTGGCTCCTGTAACCTTTCCATATCACCCCCATCCACAGGAAAACCCACGGTCAACTGAGGAACGCGGGGCAGGGGTTTAAAACACGCTCTGTGCGTGCCAGCTGCCAAAAACCGGTGTCAATGCCAGAAAGGAGACCTCAAAAGCGAAGAGGGCGAGTCGGTGCAGTGTGAAGGAGAGCTGGAGCTAGCCTGTATCCTCCGCGGATGATGTACAAAGCAGGATGAGCAGCGCGGGTTGCACACGAGCGCATCGAAGGTGATGAATGTTGTACCGAATCCCCCGGCAGGCAGCACCTCCGCAGCCGGCAATAGACCGCGTGCATTAGCGGCTCGGAGAGGGCTGGGAGCAGCAGAAATTAAAAACCAGCCCTGAGCTCGAGCACAGCACCTCTGCCACGCCGAGCATTTCTCGCTCTCTCCGTGGGGAGCACAGAGCACAAAACTGCTTTGCTGATCGCACGCAGCACTTCACACCTCCCTTTCAGGTTTGCAAACAGAACTCCGCCAGCTCCGCTTCTCATTTTCTTTTTCCTCGTTCATAGAGAAAAATACATAATGTCCTTACTTAAAACGTAGCGGAGGAGTTTGACACAAATTAATGATTCGTCTGTCATGCTATAAGAATTTTGATATTTGCAAGGGTGGGGAAAATGCTTCAGGTATTCTGAGAGCTGTAAAAAGCTGCTTCGGAATTCAAAGACAGCTCATAAGAAATCAAATCAGCTGATAGGTTGCTGCGAGGTTTGAGATACCAGTTTTGCACTAAAGTCACACTACTACGAGAATATGAATAAATAAAATGTTATGGGAAAAGTAAGCCATGAATTCCCTCAAATTAGATCCCATTGGCATGAAATTACTTCACAGCTGCTACATGTGTTGCTCCAAGAGAGGTTATTCCTTAAATAATGTTAATGACAACTTTGATTTGACTTCTGTCATTACTAGAGGAAGAAGGGACCACATTTTCTAGGAAGAAAAATCTTTTATCTGCTTGTTTAAAGTACAATCTCTGATGAGTTGGAGCTCCTTTCCCCCAAGTTATTTCCCTGAGTGTTTTTGTTTTGAAAAAGAAATGGATTTCCAGGTTGAAAATGGAGTGCTGTGCAGCACTCAGAGCTGTGGGAGAGGCGTCTAATTGTCATTTACAATGACCGTCGATTCTTCTCTAAAAGTAGAGAGATTCTTTTTCTCTCCTAACTCTCCCCACTCTCACTCCACTTTCACAAGCAGTGTATTTACAGGGCTGGATTCTTCTCTGAGTTGCCTCCACCACCACCAGTAAATCATAAAAATTTCTCCTGCAATCAATGGAGTGTCTTCACATTTACCAGACAGTATAATCTGGTCCACAAGGCAGCTGATTGTTATCTATAACCTCCCCATCCAATTCAAGTGATGGGAGATGCAACCCAAAAATTTCCCTTGGACTTTTTTACTGCCAAAATAGATCACATTCTTTGGCAGCCTTTTTACAATCTCCACTTTTCTAAATAAACATCACAGAACCTATACTGCTTTTACTGCAAAATGCTTCTCCCTGTCTGTATCGAGGCAGGTTTGTAACTGATGTGCCAACAGCAGCAGCAACCCCGTGCAAGCCTGGGGTGCAGCACCAAGACACGGGGTGCAGCGAGGACCAGGGAGCACCAGGAATAATCTTCATGGTTAGATAAGGTGAAAACGCCTTGCACTCTTCCCATCCCACCTAGACACTGCATGGTGATGTAAATTATTACGATGCAACTCCCAAAGAATTGGGGGCAGGATGTTCCTTCTCAGCAAAGGTAAAGAGGAGCTGTTACGTGAAGTGCCCAAATCCCAAACAGGCTGTGAGCAGAGTGTGCTGAGAATTGTTGAGTTGGGATGTTCTGCAGGATGGAGGGACAGAAACAGCTCTTGCAAAGGCCACCAAGCAAAGCCAGGCACTACCACAGCTCAGTGGCTGCAGAAGCGCTGAGGAGAGCACAGCTTTAGAAGAAATCATTCGAAGTACATTCCTGGACTGTAAATGAACTGAAACTGTTCAGAAAAGCCCTGACATTGAAGATCATGCAATTAAACACGGGGCTCTGATTTGCAATGATCAACAAAAAGTGAATGCATTATTAAAATGCACGGCAAATAGAACACACCACCAAAAATTCTGGCTGTACTGTACTGTGCCATTACATTAATTAACAGCTTTCCCCTATTGGTTTGCTCATTAAGATTCAAACATATTAATTCTTTGATGAACATTTGTATCCAGAAAATGGCAAGTTTCTTCCCAGCCCTCTTTTGTTGGGAAGGGATGATATTTGTTAATGAGAAAGAGAACAGAGAAGGAGCTAAACAGCCTAGCTCCCACACTCACAATGTGACTTCTCACTGGGGCCTTGAACTTCAGAGCAGTTTCAACTCATTTACAGAGCCTGGGAATGAAGGTGCCCTCCCTATATGAAAATTAAATATTTTCATGCGGTGTTATGACTTTGCCTTGAAGCATTTGTGGCTCCATGTTTCATTGGCATCTGTGGTCATTTTAGTCCACGGAGCTTAAATGTGTAATAAGGATGCCTGGATGTGGATAATTCTCCCTCCTTTCCCACTGCAATCAGGTTTTGTCCTTCATTATACCTTTCTGTGGAGTCTATTAGAGCATAAATCTTTACAGAGTTCTTCAAGCTTTGACCTACATCTTGCATATACAGGAACTTTTCTCCCTAAATTGTCTTTTGGAGCATACCAGTTCATTAAAGTTTTGAACACTGAACCTTCACTCTTATTGCTTTATCACCCAGTTTATGTGCCAAATGTCAAAACAGGCATCAGAAATCTGATTTATGAGGATATATAGAGAAATTGTGGTACATGCTTGTGACTGGGAGTCAGCTGGTAATTCCCTACCAGGATTTCCTCCCCAGCTCCCAGTGCACAGCCCAGCAGTCCAGCAACAGCGCTGCCAACGCTGAACTCACAAATCACAATTCAGGACTAACAAAGCATTGAGGCTTTTTGTAATATCTCTGAATTTCTGTGCTTTCCAGTTTTAATCACATTTGACCATTTTGTGATTTTCACTTTTTTTTTTAATAAAGGTCAGTACTGATTGTAAAAAAAGTAAAAGCTTATAAAATCAAGCAGTCTCCACATGCCAGTGTGAGATGTATTTTATACTCTTTTTGAAATATTATTAAATTATGGATGAAGCTGTAAGCCGGTAGGACTACACGAGCGTGGGTAAGGCATGTCAGGTTCCCTTATGATTTACCATTTCATACCGAAGCAGATTTCTGTCCTGCTCACACCCCCCATCTCCCTCAACCCGCACAGCCGTAAAGTTGCTACTTCCATCGCTGGTTTTGCATCACTCCCGGGGCTCCCTTGGCGTGGGCAGGGTGCAGTGCCCGCGGCCGCCCCCGGCCGGAGGGTGGAGCCGCCGCCGCCTCGCCCCGCTCCTCCCGCGGCGTGCGCGGCCTGGGCGCTACGCGAGCGCGGGGATTCGCGGCGGCCTGCGGGCCGCCATGGCCGGGGACGTGAAAACCAAGCTGTCCAAAAACCTGCTGCGCATGAAGGTGAGGGGGAAGGAGGGGAGGGCGTGCCTGAGGGCTGCGGCGGGGCTGGAAGCGGCGGCCCGGGAGCAGCAGGGCCGGGCCGTACCCATGGAGGGAGGGCCCTGTGGGCGCTGTGACCGCGGCCGGCGTGGATGTCCCAGGCCACACGCGGCCGTCCCGGAGCCCTGCCGGGGCGCATTCCCGTGCCCATCGCCGGCCACGCGGCTCTCCCACATCTCTGCATACAGATGTGTTCATGCATGGTCGGGATTGCTGGGCTGCTGCCCCGGCAGGACATCGCTGCTGCCGAGCCCGAGCTGCTGGAACGCGGCCGGTTCTGTGCCGGAGAGCAGCTTGATGATTCCAGCACAAGCCTGGCCTCAAGAGCCCAGCTCCAGCGCACCTTCTGGGAGCGCTTTCGTTCCACCTCGCTCCCCTGCAGCTGGGTTCCTTATTGTGAATTTAAATAAAGATATCTCAACTGCACATTGGAATGAAACCGTCAGTGCTGCTTGCTTTACTTGGGGGTGGGGCTTTTAGTATTGAGGAAAAAAGGTTTCGCTGTGTCCATTTTTACTCCTGTTTTCGTTGCTGGCTAAGGAAATCCCAGCCTGAATGGGCATTAATATCCAGTATTAAGCAACTTTCCCAACTCATAAATGCCAGGGATCTTAGTGGCATCCCGATGTGCTTGGTACCCTTGGAACTGTGAGATTCATGTCACCAGTGTGAAATCAGTCTCTGCTCACTGGCTAATGAATTCTGCTTCACCCCATGTACTACAACTCCTAATTCAGTAGAATACAGTCTCCTCTGATTGATGGTCCTTTATTGCCGGAAAACATCCTGGAAAAGTTGAGTTCCTTTTTTTCTTTTTTTTATTTTTTTTTAATTTTTTTTTCAACGTTAATATTCAATTTTTTAACTGAATATGACAGAGCTTTTGTGGCTTCTTGCTTGTGGTGTTTTATTTAGCCATTTATTTCCCCACATATTTATATGGGCCTATATTTCACATTCTGGCTGAAAAGAGTTAGCTGACTTCAGTTCAATTTTTCAAATAAAGTGCACCCTGCTACAGTTGGATGATGGAATGTTTACCCTAATTAACGCATGCTGCTAAATCTAAAACTTGTACACAGAAGGAACAAAATACATCTTGCCTCGCTCTCAAAAGGGAGTAGATGTTGAACTGAGTCAGCCAGCAATGTGTTGACACAGACTCCCATAACCTGGATGGCAGCATCATTATTTTTTCCTTATTTTTACATAATACACTTTTTAAATGAAATTTTTCTTTCCGTGGTTTGCCAGTTTACCAACCCCCTGGAGATTTCAAAAGCAGGTTTTTAGATTGTTTTTCTGTGGAAGGCCATGGAGAACCAGCCATGTGAATATGCTGCTATGACATTTGCAGGTTCACAGTCCAGGCAGTAATAACCAGCTTTGAAGAGATCAGTAGGTTTTGAAAAGGTCACACACAGATCTTGCATTTAGCACTTTGTTTCTGCAGATCTTCCTGTTTACAAATGTTTTAATTAAGCCTTTAGCAGCTGCCCCTGCAGGTAGTGATCCAGTGTATTACCAGAATTCAGCAGGCGGGTGAAGTGTGGTTGGTGACATGAGGTTGGTGACAATGGAGACAGACTTTTAGATCTTGCACCATTTGATTCAGGTCGCATAGCTTGGGGAAGTTTACCCAAACAACTCCTCAGTTACTGACTTGCGTGCCTACCACAATCAGCATATTTTTAATTCATCAGTGTGTGTTTACATCCGAGAGAAACCTGATCACTCAGTTTTTACCTAGGTTTTTCCTGTAGTAATCTTTAGGAACATAATCTTTAAAATGGAGTGTGAAATTATTATTTAATTGGGTTCTTGTAGCAGAATTTCTTGTGTTGAGATTTCTGACTGGCTAACCAATTTCCTCAAGCAATGTGTTTTTCCACATGATAGATTCACTTATTTTCCTCAAGAAGATACTGTAATTTTAATTGGAAAGCTTTGACATATTCTGAATCGACTCAGAAAACAGAAGTCAATTTTTCTTTCAATAAAGATCTTGTACAGTGGATGCAAATAGAAATAAAAATGTAAAATGAGACACTAGCTTGTACTTCTGAGTTTGGTTTGCTTGGGTATTTTGTAAAGACTGAAAAGATGTGTGGGTTGTTTATAGTGCAGGCACTGCACACCTATATATTTTTACAGGACTTACCTCTGTCGGGGCGTTAGGTTGGTATAAATGTAGACCTCTGATGGATACAGTTACTCAAACACTTTCTGCACATCCTCAGGGAGGTCCCAGATTTTAGGGGGGTGAGGCTATATGGATTATCACCATAAAATTTTGAAAAGTTCTGTTTTGTCTCAGCATATTTCGTTGACATTGTTTAGACTTAATTGTCACTCAGTTCAGGCACCTGACTTGAGACAAATGGAAATTAAAATGCTGTTTCACAGGCCTCAGGTCTGTAGAGTTCTGTGCTCTCAGCAGTTTTTTACAGGCTGTGACAGATGTCTTCTTCTACTCCCAGCTGTTGAGAGGTTACTGTTCCTACCTACCTGTTCCCCTCCTCTGACAGAGGTTATCACCGAGGAAGCAAGTGACAGGAGTGTCCTTGTGTTAGGAAAAAGCTGCAGTCTTGCCCTAAACTTCATTATTAGTCTCAAATATTTTGGCAAACTGTTCCTGCAGTGAGCTAACAGGTACTTAAATACAGTGCTGGACTTTGGTGGGTCAGTGAGAACTGAAGAGCTGAGAATATCTTCCTTTAGCACAGCTGGATAAAGAGGACTTTTCTTCAGAGTCTGGTTTCAGAGTCTTACTTTCTTCTACTTCCAAAGGCAGGTTTGTTGCCTTCAGAGCTACAAACGCAATCCAGTTCATTAAATCTAAGAAAAGAAGAGGATCGTTGAAAGCACAGATGTTTAAAAAAGCCCAGTATGACCTACCTTTAGCTCTGAGCTCTGGTGCTGTTTGTGTGGGTGGAGTTGGTTCCTGATGTGCTGCAATCACTTCAACACCATTACCTTCTCTCTGGCCCTTGCTGAAACATTAGAAAAACCTTAGTAAAATTAGGGAATTGTGATAACTCCAATCCATCAAAATTAGCCAGGACAAGTTTATTTCTTTATATGTAAGGTGTGACTGACTGTTGGCTTTCAATAGATAGCTGTGCTAGCTATTTTAATTTTCCATTGTCTGTTTGCCCAGACTTTGACCAAACTCAGAGAAAAAAAAAAATCACAAAAAACATTTACTTTGTATCAACTGCTAAACATTATGTAATGGAAAATTGCCATCATGTAATTACTGCATGTTCAGAAGATACTCATGATGCAGGAAACTGAAGCTGTGTGTTTGTGTCTTTCTTTGTAGTTCATGCAAAGGGGTTTGGATTCACAAACTAAAAAACAACTAGAAGAGGAAGAAAAGAAGATAATTAGTGAAGAACACTGGTATCTTGATGTACCAGATCTAAAGGAAAAAGAGTAAGCTTGTAATCTTTTGTACTTCTTATCATCATCGGATTGTTTTGAAATGGAAATAGCATATTCATATTTTTTCCTGTAAGATAAGTATTATAAATAACCAGTTAACAGAAGGAAAAACAGTGACTGACTGGCATTACAACTTTATTACTTATTTTGAGGGCTGTTCTTGACGTTGCCTAGTGTAGTTTGACCTACTTTCAATTCTTGTGTGTCTTGTTTTCTTTCACTCACACATTCTTCTAGATGCATGCAATTCATTCCTTTCAGTCAGGATCCAATTCATTCATTGCTGCTTTTCCCCTTCATTTGAAAAAAGAAGTTTGAAACATTGTGTTAGTAGATTCAGCTCCAGTCACATGGTTAAGTTGGATCATGACAGTTCTGTCCTCTTGTGTCCAGCTCACTTCAA